AAATTTAGCCTTCGTCATTTATTATTTTCTATAAATACGAACTTTCTTTCTGGAAAGCAAGCACGCAATTTCTCATTAAACAAAACAGGGCACTCATGATTACAGATCAACGTAACAAACTGTTGTGAAAGAGACATGGTTCTATCGAAGTCGAGCAAACAAAGTGGACAGTTTGCTATAGCTCGAGATTGCGATCCTTGTGAGAATTCCCATCTGAGTAGATCTTCAGTGCCAAGTCCTTTAGATAAGGCGAACGGTGGCCTGGCATTGTCACATGGGTGATTGCGAGAGACCGCACCCCAGTGGTGAGGAATGGTGCTCATGCTTTCGGTGACTAGTTTGTCTATATTGATTTTGGGGCGGTGGGGTAGCCTAGTGGTTAAAGCGTCCGCTCGACCCGCCGAAGACCCGGGTTCGAATCCCCAAATGGGTACAATGTGTGAAGCCTTTTTCTTGTGTCCCCCGCCGTGATATTGCTGGAATATTGCTAAAAGCGGCGTAAAATCATACTCACTCACTCACTCACTATATTGATTTTCATTATTCATACATGTGTATGCTTATGAAAAAGCAACCACGTTACTGAGAACATTCACTCGAGTAATGCGGCCATGCTCGTCTGTTTTGCGAAACCCAGGTCAGTGGTGAATCAGCTAAATGATGTCGGGCTGTAGATAATCGCGTCCATTGCTGTGGCCTTGACCTGTGGACATCGCGACATGAATGTCCATGATGAAGAAGGGGAAATCCTAGGAATAGATGTGTTTGGAACAACGATGCACGCCGTGGAGGTAAACAGCATGACATGTACACAACCAACTCATCGTGCCAGGACACCCGATACATTTAGTCTGCAGACAATCAGGGCTTGCTGGGAATCGGTTCTGACCAAGCATCCCCACGGACAACTCATCCGTCGAATCTACATCGATTCCTGAAAGTGCATATATTCTATTCTCACCCTTCTTTCTGTGCCTGTTTCCAACACATGGGTGTGGCGATGTCATTATCGTTTATGTTAGACATTTATGTATCTTGAAGAACTGTTGTTTCCTATATAACAGTTAATTGGTTGTATCAGTTCCGAATTCTGCGTACCTCATTGGAGTTTCGTGGTTTTGGTCCGAAACCACTCACAGAATATTCATATTTGTTGGTTTGTTTGTTGTTAAACACCGCATTCAGCAACACATGCATTCCAACTTCATGACGGCGGTCTGAAAATAATGGAATCTGGACCAGACAATCCAGTGATTCACGTCATGAGCACCGATCCATGCAATTGAGATACGATGACATGTGTCAAACAAGTCAGCGAACCTGACCACCCGATCCCGTTAGTCGCCTCTTACGACATAGAATGCTGAATACCAATTCCAACCCGGATCTTCACGGGTCCAAGTTTGTGCATTATGCAGTAATATCAATATTTAATCCAACCCCAGCGTGTTACAGATCTGAAGGTTACTGACTTCTTGATATTGGCTGAAATAGACAACTGCAACAGACAACTGTTTCTTTTTAAGATATCAATCAATCACAAAACGTCTACATACTGTATTTCCTAAATGATTGATTCGCTAGATTGGTGCCAACATGAAAAACCCGGCCACTTTCAATATCGCAAAATGAATTGAATTCATAGTATTTTTATATGTCTGTGGAAGTGGTGAACGGTGTATAGTTCCTGTCAAAGAAACGGAGACAGGCAGAGCTATACCCAGTGGTCAATGTCTCAACACATAAAATGTTCGTGATATTGACACAGGCCATGCCTCTTAGATCTTAGAACATGCAAATTTTTCTTTTCTGTATTTTGTTCGTTATTTGTTGTCTGAGCCACGGATTTGTAATCTTTTCACGATTGGCCAAATCTTTAGCTGACTGACTGACTGACTGACTGAGTTTAGTTTTACGCCGCTTTTAGCAATATTCCAGCAATATCACGGCGGGGGACACCAGAAATGGGCTTAACACATTGAGCCCATGTGGGGAATCGAACCCGGGTCTTCGGCGTGACGAGCCAACGCTTTAACCACTAGGCTACCCCACCGCCCCCCCCCAAATCTTTAGAAAAATGGTGATTCAGTGGTCATCTGGGATACAAACTGGGTTGGTAGACAGAGATTTACTGTTCTTTGTGTATTTTGGTGAGAAAAGCTTTAAATGCCCAACAGAATCCCATTTTGTATTCTGTGATGATAGGTATCAGAATCGTCTTCAGCAGCCCATCCTTGTTAGGGTCGACTGGGTGGTCAGAGTCGTTGTCTTGGTTAGCGCTTGTCATCGAACCCCAACTACGTAGATCGTGATCATGATATCAATCTGGATTGCCTGACCCTGATTCGACAGTTCACATGTCACCATCAGAAAGCAGTATTGATACTGCATGCTGCGAAAAACATGAATGCCAAGGTTACATGAACAAGCCACCGCTGTAATACTGTTTCAGTCATCAGAGAATAGTGATTCTAGGAAACTTTAAGACACGTCTGTTACCTTCAGTACAGAACTTGGGTAACGTGCTACAGACTCGTTTTAAGTGCTCATTCAACAGAACCATACTAAACGTCTTGATGGACATGCGTATTTTTATACAGAAAATCCGCAGATGTCCCTCTTTAGGAACGGCTCTTCGACTTTTGAAGATGTGCATGCTGATCGTCAAACAGCTGCGCTACAGCTTCATTATGTTTAAAAACAGACATAAATATGTGGTTCCGCTGATGTAGAGAAACAGGTCGGAAACAGTGTGTACATGTTTAGTAAACAAGACACATCACAGACGATACATTAAATACAAGGACATACATTCCTCAGTAGTAAGCTTGTGGGCATCATATTATTGTTTTATTATTTCTTTAAAGTTTGTTCTCATGATCCGGGAAGACTTGTACGAATCTAGTCGTTTCATTCAAAGGATAAACGTCTAAGAAGTTTACAGTTCAATGTGACAAGAGCAGTGTCGTTGCTATAGATTATACAATACGACTGTGTCCGATCTCTCTTTCGTTCAACAACAGTGTGTCCTGACCCTAACTTACACAGTTGGAGCGTGTCCTAGCCCTCCTTCATATAGCAAGAGAGGTGTCCTAAACTTAGCATATTCAATACGAGTGTGCGTCCAAGATCTCCCTCATATGATACGACTAGCCTAGCTATTGTCCTGACTCAGTTTTGTACGATTAAAGAGAATATCCTATCCCCAATTGCAACACATACATTAAGAGGAGATTCTGAGCTTTAACGTACACAGTAAGGGTGTACTAGGTAGAGTTCATGCTAGAGAGGTGTCCCTGTTGTACTTTATACATTTATACAACTATAATGGTTGCCCTTGCTCCAGGTTGCACAACAGCCGTATCCTAGTCCTAGCTTGTATAGCTGGAGCGAGTACACTTTCGCTACCTCATACGCAAGCCATGTTCCGGGTCTTGCTTATAAAACTAAGTGCGTCTTCCAGCATTTCCTAGGTCCCGTTTGTAACATCGGAAGACGTGCTCTGGCTGTAGTCTATACAGGAGCCATGTCCTTGGTCTACCTTATAAAATCAAACTGCGTCTTCCAGCTGTAGCCGATATTAATGCCGTGTCTTATGTCCAGCATATAACATCTAAAAGACTTGTTTTAGCTCTAGTTTATACAGGATCTGTGTCCCAGGTCTAGCTTATAAAATCCAACTGCGTCTTCTAGCTGTAGCCGATATTAATGCCGTGTCTTATGTCTAGCATATAAGATCTAAAAGACTTGTTTTAGCTCTAGTCTATACACGAGCCGTGTCCCAGGTCTAGCTTATAAAATTAAACTGCGTCTTAAAGATGTAGCAGACACGAAAGCCTTGTCTTAGGTCTAGTTTATATTACGGGTGTTATAGTTCAAACGTCTACGACTGAAGTAGGTATAAGAATGGATGCCCAGTTGTAGCTTGGAACACAGCCGTGCAGACCCCACGGTCTCATACGATTAGACAAGGCTTCCCGGTCTTTCATTAGCCCATACAAGAGCGCGCATCCAACGTTTCACAATGAACGAGGATCGCTTACCGCTCACTCATACAATACTAGATCGCGTCTCCAGTTTAACGTATACCAAAAGGCATGAGATTCGTTATACCACAAAATAATTTTGATATTTGTTTCAGGAGATACTTGAAAAATCTTAATTGCGCGTCAGGTTTTACACCCAATAACATTGTCAGTTAGGCACGATGGTTGTCCCGAACCGAGCTGTGTTGATTCGGCCTCTATGGCAGACAAAGTGTATATTTTGGAGAATTGACTGACAAATGCATTTATTCAGACGCTGAAATGAATCCAAGGAATCCTCTCCCGTCTCCGCACCCCCTCCCCCCCCCAAACACACACACAAACACTCCCTCCTATAATAGTAATCGATCCGCCACAGAAACGTCCATTTCTTCACCACAAGATTGTATTAGTTTAACGGTACTTAAGTTTTGTCTGTGCAATTAGCATGCAACGTCAACTTTAATCCAATCACTGCTACAATAACCAGGTATGTTTCTGTATAGACAGCATTCATTACAATATCCCTGTCTGTATTAAACCCATGTTACTGAAGTCGGCGTCCTTCAACGCCCGTTTAAACTCACATCAAAGACCATTCAACTCTTTAATCTATCATTCCTGTTAAAAAGTAGCCAGCTCATTTCAGAGGCCCGAGATACTCTTAACAATAATGCAAATTATAGCATTTTTTCCGTGATAAACTATGCAGCCGCTCTATCAACCATCCACTTAATCTAAGCCTTGACGCTTTGTTTTGAACCATACAGAAAAATATTGCCTGGTGCGGCTCTTTTAGAAGGAGGATTTAAAAAAGTACGACTGGCTTATATAACGATAAGAAATATGTCCACTGTTGAACATAACGTGTTGTTTGGGCCTTTAATCGTTGAAAAGAATATAAAACATATTGCAGTTAAATGCCATGTTGCCTAATATGTCTTTATACAGACAGCACTCAATCAAATGTAATGGATTTGAATTGAACTTATTAAGAACCTGTCAAAAGAGATCCAATATGAACATACGGGGCGGTGATAACTGTCATGTGTCATTAGGAAACATATAATTAAAATGACAAATTGCTATATTTGCATCAATAATCGAATGTGTTTACGCTGAGGCCCATGCAGCAGACCAATCCTCCTGCATTCTGCGTGACTGCGTTCCCAGGCAGCCATACTATGGTGTGGTACATAGGTAAGAAAGGTTCGGTCAGTATTCACTGTGTATTCGGAAACTGTCAAAGCGGGCTTCGGGCTGAAGCTGATAAGGGCACCGGGCTGTTGGGGGACCCTGTGTCGAGGTTATGACTGGTAGATAAACTTCGGATATAACGAATTCCTGTGATCATTGAATTTTATGGGAGGAATTTTATTGATGCCAAATTCTGTAATCTGAGAGACACGACGTTTCGGGGTATATTGTTACTCCTGCGTCAGGAGGATGGAAGTTTTAAAGCAGATTTTGTGTTAATGTTGTTTATTTGTCAGGATATTTTCAGTGTAGATGTTTAATTTCGGATTACCTTTAATTTCGGATGTCACGAATCCGAATGGTCCTCAAAGTAGGTGTTACTGCTGCGAATTTGCCAGAGCACTTTATTGTAGATAGGTTAGATAGTATATATTTCGAATGAAGCGCTGTTTCTGAAATCGATTTGTATTGCTGGCAGTGGGAGTTTTATTTTCAACATTTTCTACAATATCCCAGCAATAGCACAATGGGCAAACCAAATTAAAATTCTAGCGTGACGAAGGTTTCCAGTTAAACTAACACTTTGTCTCTGTATATATAATACATTATTTTGACAGAAGTGAGTATTTCCTTTTAAATTGAAAAGAGGACCCAGTGAGTAAGTAGATTCAGTACTTGGCGAAATCTAGACTTTGGCATAGCACAAAGGGCGGGACAGAAGGGTTCAGGGACTGTGAGACAGACAAAATCGCGGTATCCACTAGACTATCTGGACAGCCGACCCTAGAATAGAATTGCAGTCGTTCCGGCAGCCTATGCAAGACGATGTCTTAGCAATACGATGTCTTAGACAAACATATCTTAGCCGAGTCAAAGCTGTCTTTAAAAGCGATAAGATGTCTTAATGTTACAACACAAGTAACTAGGTGGTCGCCGCTGTCTTCGGAGTTGACGAATCAGTGGGGTTCTACTGCAGTGTTTCTGAACAGGTCCTAGAAGACATACCGTGTTGCTTTTATCGATTATAACAGCCTCAAGGCAAGCCGAAAATAAATATCAGCATGACAATCATCCCATGTATAACATTATGCGAGTCTATGATTTCTCGGGGCCACGGCAAACTAGTATTTGTGGTATTCTCAAAAGTCGAAGGAACCTACGGTAACTGACTAGAAAGTACAAGTCATGCAATTCTATTTTTGACAATTGTTTATAACAAGCCATATTTGGTCTTCTTGATCTCCGATATGGTGTCCGTGTTTTTTCAATTTTAGTTTTATTTACTAGGAAGCCTGAAATGCATGACTTTTGTTGCAAGCGTTTACTGCAATAATCATATGACAATCGGAGTCAGGACCAAGTATTGGGTTCAATTACTCTGAAAGTACTGCGTTTATCAAATTCAGTGAGTAAAGGAAACAATCACTCAGTAGTTAAACCCATGGCGTGAGCCGAAAACAAGGAATGAAGAGAAACCAATATTGTCCAATTTGTTTTAAACATCAAATGTGTTGTTTGAACGTTCTCGGAAAGTTATTTAACTGGAAACATTGCTTATTCGCCGTGTTTGTGCCTCGCATCAAAGTGTTCTTGTTTCAGTAGAAGCACTTAATGTGTTGGTACACTCTCACTCTGACAGCGGTGTTTTCTCGTCAAGGTCACTGGGGAACGTTTTCGCGAAATAAGGGAACATTTTTCAGAGGACACCTATGTCTAGCTTGGCATGAGTTAGTTCTGAATTCTGGAACTGATGCATCAAAAAAGTTTGATTTCCATAAAGTTTCAAGTCTTTCGATTCTAACGAATGCCAATCACCATCTTCAATACAATCATTGTGTTCAATTTGAAAATTTAAGAAAACGGTCAAAAGGATTAAACAAATATTGACAGTACTGCATGGACGGTGCAAGTCTCATATCAATTAACCCGTTAAATTAATTAACGATCTACAACAAACCCTGAAACTTATTGGCATAATGTGTGTATACCTTTAAGACTGTTTTTTAATTCCTTTGATCTATGTTAAATCTTTCATTTATTTCGAAGCATGGATAACTCGAAGGTCACAATTGCTTCCAATTAAAAAGCTTTCACAACTGTCGTGATTGTTCCTATTTTCTACGGATAAAACCGTGATCTATGCGGATCGAAGGGGCATGATATGATCAGGTTGTATTTGCATCTCTGTCGATGTTTATGAACATATATACGCCGATTCCAGAGAATATCCCGTCAAAGTTATTCATTGAGAATAAAGGACAAAATAGTGTTGGCAATTATAGGTAGCGGAGACAGACGTGACACCATGTGTTGGCGAAAAGAGGAGCAAATCGTGTCATACCTGCAGCACCAGACACAAACACCAGTAGTAAACAAATATGTTTATTGCCTGACACGAACCACATACAGTAAACTCACAACTCTGCGAAAGGAGCTTGTAAATCTGTATACATTGAGCTGTATACAACATTATTGAAAGCACACATGTACCAACCAATTTCCACCGTTGCCAAGAGGTGCACGTATATTGATACTACAGAGGCGGTATTAAGCAACGAGATTTATGAGACGCGCACTATACCACCGTGTGATACATTAAAGTTACGATGTGCAAACAAACCACTCTCTACCACAGTCACGCCATACACCGGTGGTATCACATGGGCTGTAGTATTTCGGTTTTGGTCGAGCGAGACAACTTACTTGAAAAATGTGAAAAGGAAACCTGAGCCACATTGCTGAGCAAATTTGTTTAATGACCAGAGTATTTGTCGTAGCCCCACCACGCCATTGAACACACACAATTAGGTCCATTAAGTCCGATTCTTAATTGAGTGGAGAGGTGGCTCTGTGGTTTATGCGTTGATTAGTGGTGACGAAGATCCGGGTTCGAGTTTGACAGGTATTCCATTCGTGATGACCGCCAAGCTTTGCTTGTTGTTGACGCTATGTTCAAACATTTATCACAAATTGTATGCTAATGTGTTAATGATAACTACTTCTATGTGAAATTTCTCACAAGTGATCTTTGTCGCGAGATCATTCCACAAATACTCAACTTCGGATATAACGAACACTTGTACCGAAATTGGAAATGACGAGTAGTAGTAAATAACTATATTGATGACAGCGAACATAATGCATGTAATAACTTTCATGTTCATGACTTCCTCCTTCCATGATCCACATTATCCTTACATTGTTCCCCAAAACACTTTTCTGTCACGAAATCACCCGATGATTTATACCGTGCATTCGGCGTCTGACGCCTAACGTCTGTAGCCGTTTTCACTTCGCGCCATATCGGCTAATTCCACACCACACGGCATCGTGTAGATTACTGAATAGGACGAGTGGGACAAACGGCATCGGGATCATTCGTAAATTGTTTACGATTAAAATCACGAGACACATTGTTACCGCATGACCTATTTGACCATTGCCGTTCATTTCCGTAACGTCAAGACATGTGAAGACACATTTAAAGCTTGAATACCGGTGAAGACGTAGCTCAGTCGGCTAGCTGACGGGCTCACAATCCGATAGGTCGCATGTTCGCGTCCGACGGGTTCTCAAACAAATGAATGCATGACTAAATGACATGTGATCAACGACAGAGACCGTTGTGGTGCGGAATTTGTGATTCCAACGGTGCTCATATTACTGTAATCAATCTGTCGTGGACATATGGTAACATGGAAGGATTCACAGGACAGATTAACACGTACATTCGAAATTACTGGTATAAGCCGTCAGGACATTCCATATGACGTCTACAAGACGCTTTGACCTGAGATCACAACCTGAGTGTTATGAACGTTCATACTGTCGGCCACTTGTTTGTCTGATTCCGTGTTACCTGGTGCTACGACAGTCAATAGACCCTGTTAAGAGTTACTCTCATCGCCCAAACTAACCTCCATCGCGAGTAGATAGATCGTTGTCCGGAGAGAAAGGGCGGTGCGTTTGTTACAAGCACCATACCAAAAGGCGTAAATTGATGGAACTTTTTGTTACCCTGGCTGAGGCTCAGGGAGAAACCGAGGACTGGTCGGCTGGGATACTGGGTAGGAGTGGGGTAATCGTGTTGTACTAATCGCATGCACGTACCTCTACAAGTGGAACAAATCTTGAACACGATCTAGCCTTACGTTATCTTACACGTCTATCTGACTGCGCTCAAAGCGGTACATAACATCAGATCATCGTAACTCTTTGTTCATGTTTAGGAGACATGATACGAATGGTGTCAAGGTCCTCGCCGAATGTGAGTGAGTGAGTGAGTGAGTGATCTTTGACACCTCTTTAGCAATATGTCATCTATATCACGGCGGGCAACACCAGAATTGTACCATATATGTGACCATAATAAGGTGAATAATGATAATGATGAAAACGATGTACCCAAACTCAAGTACATGGAACTGAACATCACATTGAAGGTAAAAAATACTCGTCTCAAACGTCGTAATTGTCTCTGCAGAGTTGCGTCCCTTGCCCCGATATATCGTTGTTTTGAATCCCAATTCGCCCTGATTATGTATGCTTATACTAATTCACTATCATATCAGTGCTTAAGAGACCGCCTCCGTGGTGTAGTGGTTAGAGCGTCTGCCCGGAGAGCGGAAGGCCGCGGGTTGGATCCCCGGCCGCGTCATACCAAACGACGTTAAAATATGGTACTTGTTGGTCCCTGCCTGGCGCTCGGCATTAATGGGTACAACAAGGACTGGTCGACTCGGAGTCAGTATAATGTGTCTGAGTGGAGAATTCATGCTTCACTGCGGCATGCTATCTCAGTGGGCTAGCACTATAAAACCAGCTGTCTGGGCTAGTACACGCAGCCACACATACACATACACACACATGCACGTCGTCATATGAGCGAAATATTCTCAAGCACGACGTTAAACCCAATTTCACCTCACCTCAGCTCAGTGCTTAAGAGTTCTAAAAAGTGATTCAAACTCACTAAACTTAACATTCTTTAGTTTTCTTGTGCACCTACACCTATAAGATATGAGAAACAACATTGGCCACCTGGTAGCATTGTCTGAGATGTTTAGGTGTAAATGAATGTACATGTATCAACATTAGGACCCTAATTCAACCCGTTTCGACTTCTCGGACCGTCGTGTCGGCTCCGAAGTGTAAGCAGGACTGAAGCCGTTAAACACCCGCCTACCTCTCGTCCATGCAGAAATCCATGTTTTAAGTGACATCATGAATATTCTTTTCTCTCTGAACCAATCTCATCAAACGATAAACACAGGCCGCCGAAACATTATCACATTTATTGACTTCTATTCTTATTATCCTGCTAATATTGATAGGGAGATTATACATTAGTTAGTAAATCCATCACCACTAATCTCTTAATCCCTTCATTTCCACCGCAATGTTAATACCACGAAGACAGAACACAAATATGCATGTAGGATCGATTGTGACGTAACCGGTACACCGCAATCAGAAGATAGCGTTGAGATGAACCGTGTCTAACTGACGCATGTAAATGAGTTTCCAGTTAGAAACTGAAACCGGTTTCTTGAGAACGGCGATACCAGAATATAGATATCGACCACTTTGAAGACTTGTGCTTGAAACTGGAATTCATGTTTCGCCCAAACTGGAAGTAGCAGACAGGTAGACGGCGGGTCTGTTTCATATAGATACACACTCGCAAACAGAACATAGCGTTTAGGTAAACGTTGTTTAAGTTTGAGGTTTAAATACTTTTCCGTTAGACACGGAAACCGGTTTCTGGAGAAAGGCGCAACCAGAATGAAGATATCGACCAGTTTGAGGATTTGTTTTTGATACTCGGAGTCATGTGTCGCCCAAACTTGGAGAAGCGGGGAGGTAGGTGACACGTCTATTTCATATAAAAACACACAAATGTATGACATTATGCTTTTTAATGTCCTCTTAATGTGAAGATGCCCTGCTTTGTCTCGGCAAGAGACATAGATCTGCTACCAGGCAATATTGTATTACAAGGGTCAGAAGTCTCTATCTCTTGAGATCGTGGTAAAGTTTGTCCTGGAGTGTCACTCAGCCAAGTGAAAGGGTCGTCTTAGGTATGCAATGTACATTTTGTGAAATGTACATTCTGAAATCGACATGCGTCATTGTGAAAACAGTGTTTAAACGCACCACCAAATGTGATATGATAACTCTTGAATTGATTGTTAATTATAATTGTATTTTGATACAATGATAATTATGATAACAATAATTGCTGGTAGTGGAATTTATTAATACACGCTGTTACATCATTGTATATTTAATGACCGTTGTGGTAGCAGTGTTTATTATTTCACTTCAATACATAACAATTATCATAATTGATAATAAACATAATTTAAAAGAGTGACGTGGTGCTAT